ATGCAGATTGTTTGTAATTGGTACCTTCCACACCAATAAATTAATGAATCCACTTAAGCAGATTCATAACTAGGGTGGGACAACTTAGATTTTGACTTGTGTACTGGAATGCTTAGTTGTGGCTCTTTACTAAAGTATTAAAGTAAACTTTCTCTGATTGTATAGAAAATGGGTGGGCCCTCTGGAAGGAAAGATAACTTTTGTTGTCAAGAGATGTTAAACATTCAATAAATATTTATTAAATATCTTATCTGTACAGAGCACTGTGATAGATGTTAGAAGCTGTGATGAAAAGATAGATGGTCATTTCTGTTATGGAACTTATAATCGTAAGCACACCAGCAAAAGGAGGGGAAAGTCAGAAACATTTGTTATTCAATATAATGACAGATTAAGATTCCCCTACAACCCTGCCCTGGTATTAGATTGTGCAGATTCTCAAGTTGGAAAGCAAATAGTACTAGTAAGAATAATGATAACAAGAAAAGTAATAAGAAGTGTATTTATATGGCACCTTAAGGTTTACAAAAAGTTTTACTAATATCTCACTCTATTCTCACAATAACCCTGAAAAATGAATGCTCTTGTTACCCCATTTTACAGATGAGGAAACTAAAGAAGCTAAGTCATTTGAAGAGGGTCATGCAAGTGAAAGTGACTTGAGGTCAGGTATGAACTCAGGTCTTTTTGTTTCTAGGCCCAGGGCTCTAGCCATTGTACCCCCTAGCCACCAATTAGATGCCTAGCTCCCCTAGTTAAAGGATGAAAGTGTCAATATGTGACATTTGAGGAAGGATTTTTAAAAACCCACATATTTAGAGGGGGGTAGTCAAGATAGGGAAGGCTCTCAAATTCTTACCCTCCTGACTCCACTCTCTGCGCATCTTCCAGCTTGTCAATATCAAGTCAGGTCAAGAAACACGAGTACTTATTTTGTGCCAGGTGCTGTGTCTTTCCTAAAATGAAACACCTAGAATTGAACATAATACTCCAAACATGGTCTGTCCTGTAGGGATCAGTGGCACCATCAACTCCTTTCTGTTGGAAATTATATTTCCATTAATTCAGCTTAACTTCATCTCATCTCTTTTAACTTCTGGGTCAAATGGTAGTTCAAATTGAACTTTTCTCCATGTCACTAAAATCCCTAAAACTAACTCTTAGGGAAATTACAGTCTGTCAAGAGTTATCTCACCCTTCCAGTGTTAGAAATTCCTTTAGAGGTCCTGGCTAAACATGGTTTCCTCCAGGGCTCAGGCCTCAATAATACTCAGAACTTGGATATTCAATTACTTCTCTCCTTCATCTATTAATTCCCCAGGGGAATATGACTAACAAGAAACACATGGATTTTCTGTGGCTTGCGGGTGGCTGGCCCTTAAGTCAAAGCATAAAACCCTAACTATTGGAAATTCAAGTTATCCATCTTTGTATTGGCTAATGGAAAAAACTTGTGTCTCTACACAGCTTCTGTGCTTGATACCATACAGAGACAACAACATGTAGAAGGAAGGAGATTTCTTTCTGTGGTTCACCTCATGGTGCTTTCCATATGGGAACTAAGTGAGCCACACATCTGCCCCTTTCCTGATGTGCCTCTTTTACTTTAAGTTTCACAATCATCCATTTTGTAGTAACTTGCAAAATAGCAATTGGTGCAACTCCATAAACATACGAACTCTTCTATGTTTAACTTTGAAGTGCCTGGACTTTGGTCTTCTCAGGTCTTGCTTCCTTCTGTTTGACTATAAATCTAATTACTCATGGCCATCAAAAGGCTCTGACACCACTTCCCTCTAATCTCATGCCAACTTTCAGATTTAGGGTTAATTGTCCTGGCTGTTTTCTTCTGTCTTTCCCTCTCTTGTGGCCTGTTTCTGTTCTAGCTCACAAAGCCTTGAGACCTATCTGGATTCTCTTCATAACCCCTTATCTCTATCATCCTTTGTCATCTTCCCCATTCTTTTATATAGTGACAAGTCTAGAAGCTATTTCATCCCTTCCCAATCACAATAGGACCAATTACCTGGAAGTCAGCTATGTTCAGCCAATATTGTCCTGCACTCACAGTATGCCTCTACAATATCACATGATGGACCTTTGTGATCATTTAATTCTAGCCCTCTATTTTGATGGGGCCAATGTAGGCAATCAATTGATCAATAATCATCGGTTAAGTGCCCACTATGTATCAAGTGTTAAGAGAAGTGTTTGAGGTATGACAAAAATGAAACAGTTCTTTCCCTCAGTGATTCAATTTTGATTCAGTTCAATGAACATTTATTAATGCTTACTATGTGTGAGACACTGCTCTAGGCTTTGGGGATACAAAAGTTCTGAGAATACAAACAGAAGCAACAGACAGTCCTTGCCATCAGGGAGCTTACACTCTAATGGAGGAGAGAACATGCAAACAAATATATACAAAACAAGCAATATATGGGATAAATAGGAAATAATTAAAAGAGAGATAACATTGGAGTTAAGAAGGATTGGGTAATGCTTCCTGTAAAAGGTGGAATTTTAGTTGGGACTTAAAGGAAGCCAAGGATGTTTATGGTTGGAGTTGGGAAAGGAGAACATTCCACACATGGGGGACAGCCAGAGAAAATGCTCAGTGCTGAGAGTTGGAGCATATTGTTCATGGGACAGCCAGGAGGCTGGTGTCACTGGATCAAAAGCTCATGGAGGGAGTAAAGTTTAAAAAGACTGGAAAGATAGGAGGGGATAAAGTTATGAAGGACTCTGAATGCCAAATAGAGCGTTTGGTATTTGATCTTGAAGGTGATAGGGAGCCCCTGGAATTTATTGAGTAGAGTTGTGGCATGGTTGAATCTGTACTTTAGAAAAATCATTTTGGTGGTTTAATGGAGGATGGATTAGAGTGAGGAGAGACTGGAGGCAGGTGGATGCACCAGTAGTATTTTGCAATAATCAAGGCATGAAGTGATGAGAGCCTGAACCAGAGGGGCGATAGTGTCAGAGGAGAAAAGGGGTCGTATTTGAGAGATGTTGCCAATGTGAAATCCAGAGGTCTTGGCCACTGTTTCAATATCGGAGATGAGAGACAGAGAGGAATCCAGAATGACTCCCAGATTTGCAAGCCTGAGGGACTGGGAAGATGGTGTTACCTTCTACAGTAATAGGGAGGGTAGGGAAGAGAAGGTTTAGGGAGAAAGATAATGAATTCTGCTTTGGACATATTGTGTTTAAGCTGTCTACTAGATATCCAGTTTGAGATGTCTGAAAGGCAGTTGGAGATATGAGATTTGAGATCTGCAGAAAGATTGAGGCAGTAAAGAGATAGATTTGAGAAGCATCAGCATAAAGCTGGTAATTAAATCCATGGGAGCTGATAAAATCACCAAGTGAAACTTATAGTCTATTGTTGAAGTAACAAACACACATATGAATATATACAGATGAATAAACATGTGCACATTGTTGGTTAAAGAGACAACAAGCTAAGTAATAAGCATATTCATATTCCTTTATTCCCTTAAGTTAGCACATGTACATGGAGTCAGATCTTTAACTCTGATTGACTCAAGAAATTTTAGGAGGACATTTAAACCCTGACTCAGGATGTCTGTGTTACTCAAAAAAAAATACAACCTCCACATGTTTTTTTTTTTTTAACATATAACATGGGAAATGAAGTTTCTTAGTTGAATAGGTTGTAAATACAATAAAATAGGAGAATGTCAAAGTGTCAATTCAAATTATATATCCAGGATATCTGTGTTTCCCCTACATAACGTATGTCCATTGGATACCAAGATAAGAAAAGTCCCACTATTCAAGAGAGTGTGTGGTCCCAGGGATCCTGTGCATAGTGATCACAAACAGGAAGAATGCTAGTCAGCTCTATCTGGTCCTGTAGCTGATAACACAGGAAGAAGCATTTTTAGTTCACTCAGAAAGATTAATTCAGGTATTTGGCCCTTATTGGGGCTCAGTTGATCTTAAATGATTATCAACATATAAATGTATGTATGTATAGAATAAACACGAAGTGATTTTTGTGAGTGAAGCACTAGCATCCAGCAGGGTAGCCAGTGGGGGAGGGAGGACCAAAAAAGTGACTTACCCAAATCATATTAACAAGCAATCTAAAGCTCAATGAAGGTCTTCTAATTTCCAGCCCAATGCTCTTTCCCAAAAAGGGTCAAAAATGATGTGCCCCAACACTGAGAAAAGTAAATCATATTACCCTGGTAGCAAAAGGATTGAATTCATGGCATTGTGTTTTGTAAACTTTATATTGTTTGATGTCATCGCTTGATATTATATAAATGGTAGTACTCCAATATGGAGGAGTGACTAAGTCTAAAGTGGTCCTAATACCCATAGAAACATAGGCAAAACAGACAGTTTGTACCTTTCCACTGTTAACTCTGTGTCAAATGGATAAGATTTGCAACTTCTTGATGGAATGAATTCTTGACTTGCTCCAGGGGCCTTAAGTCGATCTCCTACTGTTGCCTTAGTTAAAATTTGATCCTCCTACCAGTTTATGGTCCCAATAAAGAAACTTCTCCTACCCAACCTTCACTCAAACTTGATATCAATAAGTGACCCAAAGAACTTTTCTACTACATCTGAGACTCCTCCTCCTGCATCAGGTACCAGTCACCAATTCTCGATCAAGTCCATTCTTAGGGTGTATAATCTTGCCATCTAAACCACACCTTGGACTGTTTCCTTCCCAGCATTTCTTCCTCACTCTCAGGCTGGGGAAAGTTTCTTGCATGTGAGGATTAGTCTCTATTGATTTATATTGATATTGTATTTTTGTTTTGTTTTGTTTTACCTGCTTACTGTGTTGCAAAACAAAAAAAGCTTGAGATTATATCATCTTCCTGAGTAACAGTTTTCTAGAAATCACGAATCCAGGAATTTGATTTAACCAGAGCCATGAGGCCAAACATTGACAAGCTGTTGATAAAGCACTATACCCAATTTGAATGTGCTGTGATAATTCTGATGTCTTCTTTCAGATGACACTTTTACCCTGCTGAATGAGGCTGGTCTCAGTTTTCATGAAGCTCTTCTGGAATTTTTGGACATAGACAACAGAGATGGAGCAGCAGTGAGCTGTGGGTCTTGGAAAAAGGTAAACCACTGACCAATAAGAGAATACACACTGTGAAGAAAGAGAAAAGAGCCTTTCCATTAATTAACCAGCTGGACTGGAGAATGAGGCAAGAAGGCTATTGAGATCACACTGATCCCAAGCAATCCTGGACTTCAGAGACCATGGAAACCATGGTGGTGGGGGTGATCCTGACTTTATTTGCTATTATATTGGTGACTTTTTGTATCCTCTGCTGGTCCAGCTACAACAAATCCCCCTGGAATCAGCACCAAGATAGTATCCCAAACTTTACTTTGGTCACTTTCCACAGGGAAGCTTCATTTGTAAGACCTACTGGTCAGCATGCTAATGCCCATTCATCCCCCAACCAAAGGAATTTATTTTCCTTTATGTGAAGTCTTATCCAGGGTTATTCAGAACTCATCTCTATCCTTTCTGATATCTATGGAGGAGCCAATTGTCATAAAGGAGGAGACCCTGGGGCTGAAAGCATAGTCCCTTCTTTGGAGGACATTATGGAATTATCAGATGGATAGTGCTCAGCTAGACCTCTCCATTAACAACAACAATGTCCTATATGTTGTTGAAGTTTCCAACACTGACACTTCTTCCCTATTAATTCAAGATTAAGTGATAATGGAAGCCAAATAAGAACATTTACCTACTCTCCAGAAAGAGATGAATACAACTCAATACAATTCTACATTTATTAAATGTTTATTCACCTGTGGAAAAACTCCAGTGGATCATACCTTCCTTTAAAATATAGCAAGAAGACAAAAGATTCTGACTTTTTAAAATCAAAGCAGTTCCTAGGGAGTGTGTTCTGAAAACCAAACAAACGGGGCCACCTCAGCTTTGTAACATGACAGAATCACCAGGCTAGCAGGAGCTTTATGGCCCCTCCCTGTCCTTTGAAAGAAATTATGATAGAGGAAATGCATTCCAGACTTGGGGGAAAAAACTTATGCAAATACATGGAGTCAGGAGATGTACTGTTGTATGGAGGAAAGAGTTAGCAGGCCAGTTTGAGGGGAATGGAGACTGTATCACAAGTGACTGGGAAGGTGGGGGAAAGGCAGATGGAGGAAGGGTTTAAACACCAAGTTTGGGATTTCACATTTTTTCCTAGAGTCAATAGAGAGTCACTGAAGGATTTTGATTCTGGGCCATGACATGGTTAGATTAGTGTTTAACATTCAGCAGCTGTATGATGGAGAGGAGTATGGAGCAGGAGTTCTTAACTTGAGCACCATAAGCTTGTTTTTAAAAACATTTTTATAACTTCACTTCAATGCAGTTGGGAATGTTTTTGCTTTAAATATGATTAATTTATTTTCCTTATGTTGAAACATTCTTGCATTCCTGGAATAAATCCAACTTTGAATGATGGATAGTCTTTTAAAAATATTTCTGTACTTTTATTAAGATTTTATTTAAATATTTTTTCATCAAAATTCATTAGTTTAGTTCTCTTTTTTCTGTTTTATATTCTTCTGGCTAAAATATCAATTTCTAGTGGTCTTCTACTAGGGGCTTGGTATACTGTTTTCCTTCTCAAATTTTGAGAATAGTATCTGTAGCATTGATATTATTTGCTCTTTAAACATTTGATAGGTTTCACCTACAAATGCGTCATACCAAATTTTTTTTTCCTCTTTCATACCCTTGTGGGTCATTTATTCTTATTTTCTTTGATTGTATTGTTTCCCATTCAGATGATCTGAATATTTTATGGGAAATTTTCCATTTCTTTGAAACCCACAGGTTTGTTAAATAAATTTAATGTATTTTGCAAACCTTAAAATTATATATGCTAATTATTATTATTAATTATTGTTGGACAACTCAGGCCCATTAATCCATTAACATATAAATGTTTACATAAAGAGGAAGAAACTTTGGAAAACCAAAGAGCAAGAACTAGGGAGCAGCTAGGTGGAGCAGTGGATAGAGAACTGGCCCTGGAGTCCAGAGTGACTGAGTTCAAATCTGGCCTCAGACACTTACTTGCTATGTGACCTTGGGCAAGTCTCTTAACCCCAATTGCCTCACTAAACAAACAAACAGAAAAACCCCTAATAACTAGAAGAGGAAGTATAATAAGAATTAAGGCAGAAAAGTGGCTGCAGGTTACTTCTTCTTTTGCTATTAACCCAGGTAATTTTCCTGGGCAGCTGAGGCCCCCAGAGAGGAAGACACATTTCTATGTACTATGACCCTGCTACCTTGCTTACCCTGATATCAACATTGCCCTCACAATAACACATTCTCTGCCAAAGGCCAGCAGAAATGCCTGTTGCATCCTCCTCAGAGGCAGAGCCAACAGTGGTGGAGGAGTGAGAGAGGAGCAGGAAGAATGAGAGGGGCAAGGAAGATATAGGCCAAGTAATTTCTCATAGAGGCAGCTAGGAGGCTGCCTGATTAGATATTAGCACACTCCTCATTGCTTGCCCTCTTTCCTATTCCAAAAGGAGAGGCCTCCCCTCTTCTGGGACTTTATTGATAATTTTCAATTCTTTCATCTTCACAGGAAGGAAGGAAATAAAAAAAAGAGACGGGGTGATTCAAGTATGAACAAGACATTATTTTAATGCCCATCCTCCCAGCCTTTTCTCTGTCCAACCTACAGAATGCTAATAGAAGCAGTTCCAGACAAAGTAGGACTGCGGAAGGCTGGCTAGCACTTGGAGAGGGATTACATTGTTCTTAAACCCTAGAAAATAAATATGGTCTCCCTTCATTCCACCAAATATGAGTCGCTATTTCAGGGAACTTCGGTGTTCCCCAACGCCCTACTCCATCAAGGAATTCTGCTTTCTTCAGTACAATAGAAGTTAGAAGACAGCACATTCCTTCCGGGAGGAAATAGATCATCTGGCAACTCTGGCAGAAACAGGCAGTTTGATAGAAATCTGGGAAGGAGGGAGTCTGTGGGTTACTGTTGGTTTCATTAGGATTGGCACTAGGCTGTGATTTCATACCTGTAGGGAATTGACAAATGAGGAAACTTCTTCCACCCACAGGTATCAATAGCTTGTCTGAAATTTAGAGTCTTAGAGTTTCCTTGAACACTGAGAAGTGATTGGCTTGCGGGTGACAAGCCAGTGCATGTTAGAGGCTGGATTTAAATCCTCCTTTTCAGGCTGCAAAGCCAGCAGATCTCTTCCTGGGTTGTAGGAGGAGAAAAAAGGAAGGGTGAAATTTCCAAATCAAAAATGGGAGGTGCCCTGAATTCTCAGAAGGGGTGGGACAAAAGCTGCCTCAGGGCCTCTACTAAAACTGTTCAAAAAAATCTCTCATATGTGGCTGAAGTTATAACACAGCTATCTATCAGCCAAAGGAAGGCACTCTGGAACCAGGGGTGCATCCTAGTACCTCTTAACCTTGCTTTTTCCAAGCCATCTGTTGCTGTTGGCCAGACTCTGAGAGGCCAGTGGCTACTGAAGTGCCCAGTGTCTGACTACCTTTCATCGAGATCCAGCCCCTCTCTCTGACTAGGGGTGCTGCTGCTGGTAGCCTGCAGAAAACGGAAGAGCGAAAAGCAGGCTGGAGACGCATGGAACAGGACCCTTCTCAGCTCAGAGTCAACCAAAGTGAGCCAACAGAACCTAGCGGGGATGGCTGCTGGGAATAAAGAATGTCTTTACCTAGCAATGATTCTGTTCCCATTTGTGGGATGCAAGGACTTATAGATTCACAATTTGAGAGTTGAGAGGGATCTTAGAGATCATATAATCCAATTCCTGAGTCTTACAAATAAGAAAACTAGGGCCTGGGTAGGAGAATATGTTTTCTCTTTTCTTTTTCAATTAGTTAAAAGGGTTTTACTGTATCTGTGTGAGAATATTTGCCATCTGTATAAAATGACAGCAAGATTAGAGAAGAAAATGCTTGAGGCTTGGTTAGAAGAAACAAAGTCCTGTAGGCTGTTTATCCCCCATGTTGGGCCTCAAGTGTGGCCCCAGTGAAAGCATATGTGAGGTGTGTTGTAGTTTTTTTTAAGCTAAAAATATGAAGCCATTTCCTCCCTGGTTAATCTTAGCTCTCCAGATGCCCAAGAGGAAAATGAAACTTGTGTCACTTATGGCACAAATGGACATTTGTGGAACACATGAACATTTTAAGTAATGTTCCAGGTAACTAATAATTCCCAGCTCAACTTAGTCACAGAAATTCACTGATTTATTTAAAAAGAATCAAACTGGTTTAATGCAAAGATCCCTGGCTTTGAAGTCAGAGAATCTGCTTAGCCACTTATTAGCTGTATGGTCTTGGGCAAGTAGTTCACTTCCACTTTTCGGGACTCAGTTTCTTCATCTATAATGTGAGTGAATTGGGACTGCATGGCCTCTGGGGTTCTTTACAACTGCAACCCCAATGTTTTTATATTAAGTTGAAGTCAACCTTCCTTTAGTTACTGCTCAGCATTCTCAGAATTCTAGTTCCATGTTCTAGAGCTGAGTAAAGCAAGACCACTCCTTTTTCCATGACATTTCTTTACACATTTGAAGGCATCATCAACTATGCCCATCTCTTCTCTTCTTCACACTAACTACCCCTGGTTCCTACATCATATCTCCATATGACACCGTCTTGAGTTTCTATATCCTCTTTGTTACCATTCTCAGCACCTCATCCAAGAAGAAGGCAGTTGGTGGCTCAGTGGGCCTGAAGTCAGGAGGACCAAAGTTTAAATATGTCCTCAGACACTAACAGTGTGACCCTGGGCAATTCACTTAATTTCTGGCCTAACTTAAAATATGGCCTCAGACACTTAGTACCAGTGTGACCCTTGGCAATTCACTTAATTTCTATTTGCTTCAGTTTCCTCTTCAGTAAAATGAGGACAATAATAATACCTTCTTATGAGACTTGTTATGAAGATCAAATGAGATACCATTGTTAAAAAGAAAAAGTACTTAGTTCAGGGCCTATGCTTAATTCTTTTCCCTACCTTTGTCTATGTTCTTTCTACAATATGGCACCCAGAACTGGAAACAGTACTCAAAATGTGG